TGGTCAACAGAGGGTTTGAGAGATTTTGAGGAATGCAGGATGAGGACTGAGGGACTGGGAGGATGGTGTTGTCTTATGCAGTAATAGGGAAAATGCTGGTGGAGGGGGTGGGGAAAGGGTGTTTTGATAATGAAATACCATAGCGATTTCCTCCTTTAACTTGTTAATTTCTGAGTGAACCAGAAACTCTTATTTAATTTTGTCAATCTAGCATTGAGCATGGAGGAAAAACAATTCTATATATCGCTTTGGTTCGTTTATGTATTTTTTTCCTAGTTCTTTGTGTATGTATACCTCCTTTGTTTAAGGTATACCTTCTTACTAGAGTGCATGTGCTATGTGGGACTGGGCTTAGCTATTAATAGTTAGCTATTAATAATGTTCTACACATAGTTGATGCTTAATAAATATTTGTTGACTTTAATTAAGTTTTATTTAACAAAAATCATGGTTGACTGAAAGCCCAAACTAGTTTTCTATTCCTATGGACTCTTTTTTTTTTAATTAATTTATTTTGATTTATCAACAATCACTTCCACAAGCTTTTGAGTTTTAAATTTTTCTCCCACTCCCCAGGATGGCCTGCAGTCTGATATAGGCTATACATATACATAACTATTAAACATATTTTCACATTAGTGATGTTGTAAGGAAGAATTAGAACCAATAGGAGTAACCACAAGAAAGAGAAAACAAAATAAAACAAAAAAAATAACAAATAGTGTTCTTCAATCTCCATTCACACTCTATAGTTCTTTCTTTGGATGTGGATAGAATTTTCCATCATGAGGCCTTTGGAGATGTCTTATATCTTTGCATTGCTGAGAAGGGCTAAGTCTGTCAAAGTTAGTCATCAAACAACGTGGCTGTTATTGTATACAGTGTTCTGCTGGTTCTGCTCACTTCACTCAGCCTCTAAGTCTTTCCAGGTTTTCTGAAGTCCACCTGCTCATAGTTTCTTATAGCACAGTAGTATTCCATTACATTCATATACCATAACTTGTTCAGCCATTCCCCAATTGATGGCCATCCTCTCAATTTCCCATTTTTTGCCACCACGAAAAGCTGCTATAAATATTTTTGTACGTGTGGGTCCTTTTCCCATTTGTATGATCTCTTTGAGATACAGCCTTAGAAGTGCTATTGCTGGGTTGAAGGGTATGCACATTTTTATAGCCCTTTGGGCATAGTTCCAAATTGCTCTCCAAAATGGTTGCATCATTTCACAACTCCACCAACAATGCATTAGTGTTTCAATTTTCCCACATCTCCAACATTTATCATTTTCCTGTTTTGTCATGTTGGCCAGTCTGATAGGTGTGATGTTATACCTCAGAGTTGTTTTGATTTGCATTTCTTTAATCAATAGTGATTGAGAATTTTTTCATATGACTATAGATACATTCCTTTTAAAGAAGCTTTTTATATCTGTTATTTTGAATATTTTACTCTTTTGTGTAGCTGGTCTGTGTATAAGCAGCCTTATTTACTGCAGCTTAAATTAGTTTTGATTTGGATTGGTTTAGAAATGTCTCAAGTTCGATTTGTATGTAAGTATACAGTAGAAGTATTTATTATTAAGATAGTAAAATAGGATTAAGATTAGTAAGTAGAACAGAATTACAGTTAGTAAGTCCCAATAGGTAACAATAACATACTCAGTTGGTATCAAATCTTGTCACAATTAATCATCGCCACTGGGGAAACCATCTACGTATGTATCACATGGGCTGGGGAGTCCCGGTTTTCAGCTTCCAGAGTCCCAATGGGAAAATCCTGGGCTACCTGTCTGCACCTCAGGGGAGACTCCAGAGGTGAAGTTGGGGCTACCTGCTTTTAGTAGTTCCTTTTAACAGAAGGCAGTTTGCTAAAAAATACGTCATCTATGGGAAAGGAGCTGCTCTCAAAACTATCCTTGAGAGTATTCCTGTTTATGAATATCCAGTTCCTGGAGGGGTGACCAACCCCTCTTGGGAGCATATACTGTAAACTGTCCTTCCACATCTAGCTAGGAATAAGATTAACATGAAAAAAAAGTCAGGGTCAAATTGCAGGCATACTGAGTGAGGTCAGAACGTCGTTTTTGAATTCAGTCATCACAGTTTGTTAAACTTGTTCGTAATATTTTTGTAATTTCAGCTAAAAAGATTCAAATTATAATGAAATATTGAATCAGATACTAATAGATAATGTGTACTAGTCATTTGATGCAGGTCTTGCTTAGCATAACTGATTTTATGTGATGCATTAATATCTCTGTACTCATATCTCATTGTACTTTGATCCTTGGTGATCTCATCAATTTGTATAGGTTCCATTAGGAGCTCCTTGCAGATGGGGTATTTTAACCTTTTCCTAACTTTTTTCTCAGATTTTCACCTCATCAGGATAAAAACAATATATTACTTATTGAATAAAAAGTTTAACGTTCCCTTTTTGTGACAACCCTGTGTGTTTGACTAAATGAAGGTATTTGTACCTTTAATGTTATTGGTATTGGATTTTCCCTCATTTAACAAATATTTATTTAATGCCTGCTAATTGCAGGACATTGTGCTAGGTCACAGGATTGGACAAATGTTCTGTGAAGTTTGGATTTAGTCAGAGGGCTGCACTTGAGGACCTAGAGGGCCATGTGTGGCCTCAAGGCCACAGGTTCCCCACTCCTATGCAAGGAGTTGGGGATACTAGTACAAAGGATGTTTGCAATCCCTGTTTGCAAAGAGCTTACATTTTTTTTTATTAATTTATTTAGATTTATCAACAGTCATTTCCATAAGCTTGAGTTTTAGATTTTTCTCCCCCTCCCTCCCCAAGACGTCCTGCAATCTGATGTAAGCTATACATATACATTCCTATTAAACGTATTCACATTAGTCATATTGTAAAGAAGAATTAGAACCGATATAAAGAACCACAAGAAAGGAAACAAAACACAACAGAAGAAAAAAAATAGCAAATAGTATGCTTTGATCTGCATTCAAACTTCATAGTTCTTTCTTTGGATGTGAATAGCATTTTCCATCATGAGGCCTGTGGAGATGTCTTATATCCTTGCATTGCTGAGAAGGGCTAAGTCTGTCAAAGAGAAAAATCCATGGGGGGCGGGACACTAATAAAGAGTTGGGCAGCTAGGTGGCATACCAGATAGAGCACTGGATTTGGAATCAGAAAGACTTATATTCATGAATTCAAATCTGGCCTCAGACACTTACTAGCTCTGTAACCCTGGGCAAGTTGCTTAATCCTGTTTGCCTTAGTTTCCTCATCTATAAAATGAGCTGGAGAAAGAAATGGCAAACCACTCCAGTATATCTGCCAGGAAAACTCCAAAATGGGGTCATGGAGAGACAGACATAGTTGAAATGATGGAACAACAACAATAAAAAGCCAACTTTTTGACCACATGATTTTGAACAAACCTCTGGTTTTGATTTTGTCTTCTAAATTTATACACATGAACAACTCAGTAAAGCAAAGAGTTTTTCAGTGTACTTGCATGTTGGTGAAACTTTTTTGGGGGGGGCGCATACCTTATGCTACTTTGGAACCCTAAGATTTTATAGAACACGGCTTAAGAAATGCTGGTATATTTTAAAACTGATAAACCGAAAAACCTCCATTCAGAATCTACTGGATAGCTGAGAGTTTATTGTAAGGCAATTTGTCCTGCAGTGCCACCCTCATATTTCTTTGTCCTGTGCCTTTTATCATAGATTTCTAGAGTTAGATGGATCTTGTCCAGCTGCCTACCTATTAGAGCAATACCCTATACAGTATCCAACTTTCATTCGTACTCTGCCACAATACATCTACTGACCATCTAACTCTACCTATCATAAAAGGTAGTCCATTCAGTTTTTGATAGTTGTAAAAGCTGTCCCTTAGGTTGAGCTGCAATCTGTCTTAGAATTTCCATCAATTGGTACAAGAGATGCCTTCTGGAACTGTGAAGAATACAGTGAAGCCAACTTCCATGTAACAGTTCAACCCTTCTGAATTTTTGTTTTTGTAAAGTGTATCTGCCTTTGCTCATAAAGTTGTTATGAAAGTCAAAATAAGATTCCTGAGCAATTCAGGTGTATTGTATTAGTAATTAATTTTTTTAATAGCAGCATGTTAATTTAATTTTATTTTTTTTAGGCAGTTGGGGTTAAGTGACTTGCCCAGGGTCACAGAGCTAGTAAGTGTCAAGTGTTTGGTTTGAGGCTGGATTTGAACTCAGGTCCTCCTGACTTCAGGGCTGATGCTCTATCTACTGCGCCACCTAGCTGCCCCTCAGCATGTTAATTTTAGAGAAAATTTATAATAACCTGGAGCTGCAGTGTTTCTTTATGCTAATATAGTACATTAGTTATGGGGGGAAGTGTACCCCAATATATGGGATGGCTAGGTGGCATATTGGATAGAGTGCCCTGCCCCTGGAGTCAGGAAGACTCCTCTTCTTGAGTTCAAATCTTGCCTCAAGACACTTACTAGCTCTGTGACACGGGGCGAGTCACTTAACCCTGTCTGCTTCAGTTTCCTCATCTTTGGAACATAATTTTACTATTTTAGATAGTAGAAATTTTTTTCTTTGATATTTTATTTGCCATACTTAAGATTTGATAGGGAATACTAGATTATGAATACGTGCCCTGATTATGATAATTCTTCCTATGGGAAAATACAGCGTAATTTATGATAATCTGCTTTATGGTGTTTTCAGACCTACATTGTTTGGTAAAAAGTACTATCAATATATTACTCCAAAATCTGTAGCTAGGATATAATAGCTGGGAAATTAAAAAATATATAAAGGCAGTAATATTCAACATGGTCCTTTTTGTAGTACTTAGGAGCAATTGTAAGAGTTTTTCCTTTCCTTGGAGAAGAATTTAAACATTCATTACTAAAAAAAAAAAAATGTGACAATTGTTTCACTCACCAAAAGTTAAATTGGAATGTATGTGGATATTCAATAATTGTGAGCTTTTTACATTTCCATTTCCTTTGTGTAGGAGTTAAAGTTCCACGTAATTTTCGCTTGTTAGAAGAACTTGAAGAAGGCCAGAAAGGAGTAGGCGATGGTACAGTTAGCTGGGGACTTGAAGATGATGAAGATATGACACTTACAAGGTGGACAGGCATGATTATTGGGCCACCAAGGGTCAGTCTCCCAAGTTTTTTCTGTTAATACTGATCTTAACTAATAAATGACTTGTTGAAAAATGTTAGTATAAGAAATGATCACTGTTAACCATAATTTAAAAATGTTTCCTATGTACTAATGTTTAATCTAGATTTGCAAATTCATTTGCAATCAAAAGGTACTTCAGAGTATTTTGCCATTATTTCAGTCATATTGCATAGTAAAGGTATATCCTTATGTCTCTTTCAAGGTTATCAATTCTTTTTTTCCTGGATTGAAGCAGCACATTCCTCATTTCAAGGAATTCCCTCACTGAGGGTTAGTCGTTATTTTTTGAAACCTATGATAAAATTCTCTTTGGTTTGATAAATTCAGCACTGATTCAGACTTTTCCTTCATTTGGTCTACTTATTTTCGTATCGAGAGGGGCATGGTATAGTGGATAGGGAAGCTGGCCTTGAATTCTGGAAGTCTTAGGTTCAGCTTCCTCTTCTTACATATATTGACTGTGTGACCCTGGAAAAGTCACTTAATATCTCCATGCCCCAGGCAGTTTCTGTGAGGTTTGAACTCAGAGAAATATGTACTGTTCTGCATTGGTACAAGAAATTCCTCACTGGGGAGTTTTCTACATTAATGAAATCATGGGTCTGCTAAAAGTAAATTTTCTTTTTACACAGTGGCTGCTACATTATCAGGCTACTAATACAACTCTGTGTATATTCACTAATCAATGATAGTGGTACCATCCTATATAGGTTCTTAAAATTATAATCTCCAGTGAAGAAGTATCAATTTTACCAAAGAAAAGAAGAATATCTGGCCTAGACTATGTATACTAAAAGAGGGTAGAAGAGCACAGGCTTGGAAAAAAGCAGACCTTATCAAAAAAACATGTCTAAGAGAGATCGTTTATAACTATCAACTTCTATGCCTGCTATCCTAGAGATTGCTTGAAGAGTCTAACAGTAGGACAACTTGTCATTTCCTTTGGTTGTTGTCAATTGGTGAATAAGCATTTATAAAGACCCTGCTATGTACCAGGAATTTTGTTAAGCCTTGTTACATCAAGCAAGGCATAAAACAAGGAAAACGTATGCTTGCCAAATGTGTTTCACGCCACTGTCATGAAGCTGGTTTGATGGAAGGTTTAGAGGAAAGAGGAATTCCCTGTAGTTGGTGAGGGTCCTGTAATGTTCTTTTTTGAGGATGTTGTGCTGATTTTATCAAGCCCCAGAACATTGCAGAGCCACTTAAATAAGATCCATAATTACTTATAAAAGTTTGACCTAACTATGCATGCAGAAAAAAACAGTGAATGAATATTGCCAGGTTGTGCTATGCAGTTGGATGGACAATCCATAGAGTTTATCCATAAGTACCTATATGTCAGAAACTGTTTATGGGTAAGCTGAGCTTAAAAGTAAATAGGAGCAATGAGAATGGGCTAGATTACTTTTGGGAAATTACACACTTAAAATGACCCTAAGTTTCTTTCTGAAATAGAGAGTCATCTTTTTAATACCACAGTTTCTAAAGAGTTTAACGTCGAGAGCCATTCAAAAGGCAGTAGAGAGGCACATGAGTGAACATAAGGAGGCTGTAGTACATTATAATGAATTGTACAGGAGAAGATTTGTAAAGAATGTCATCAGAAGAATCTATGATCAATAGAGGAGGACAAAGGAGTAATTGTTGGACAGGCCATGTGTTCCATTGGGTGTTTACTCATGTGATATCAAGAGAGCTAAATGAATGTCAGCAGCAAGTTGGGTGGAACTCCTGTTGAGAATTTATTGAAGGATAGGGCAAAAGTCACACAGGATAAACGAGAATAAATAGCTTGTAGTTTTATGTTGGACTACTCCATCAGTGAGATCACAGGTCCTTTTGAGAAATAAATCATAATATAGCATATTAAAAGTATATTTTAGCTATTTTTGCCTGTTAACACAGTATTCACAAGGAAACTAGGATAGGTTAAATAACAATGTTAATTTCATGGAAGGAATATTTTATTGTTATTTGTCAGTTTTTATTTTGCTATGCTTGTGCATGTTTAAAAGTTATCAGCTTTTAAAACAACTTTTCACAATAGGTGTTAAGAAAAATCACCTATAAGTTCTAGCAAAGAATATTATTTTTCATATGTTTCTTTATCAACTTTGCTACACAGTACATATTTAGTGCATATTGAGTTTGTTGAAGATAATGACTTAGGACACTTGCTTTAGTTTGTAATTTAATTAGTATGAAATTAATTTTCTAGTTAATGGTAGTTAAATGTAAAAGATTTTTACAGTAAAATCCACTAGAAATAACACTTTAAAGTATATTTGCTTCATTTTGCTAAATCCACTGGTTCTAGTACTCTTCCGTCATTCCTGTGGATTCAAATCAATTAACATTTGTGTAACTTAGGAGGAGGAGTTAGAATTAGAGGAAGCCTTAGAAATTATCTAGTTCAATCCCCTCATTTTACAGTTGAGGAAATTAAGGCCCTTTTGCATAGCTAGTAAGTAGCAGAGCTGGGATTTGTATCCAAGTCCTCAGACTTCAGATTTATTGCTTTTTTTTCCACTCGCATAATTTTCTCACTGTCCTAAGACAATCTGCTGCCATCAGGATAAAATCCTTTTATTTTGCTTTTGGTTCTTTTAGGCATCAGGGAAAGCTGCAGTGTTTGAATTATGGTCAAAACATGTATCAGATTAACCAAAGATGCCAATGGAGTGCAAGCTCTGGCAGGTTCTACCAATCTGGAAAGGCTGAGAGTATGGGCCCGGCGACAGACTGTCGCCTGAGGACCAGCCTCGCTCAGTTCGGAGAGAGGCTCATCACCAAAAGGCTGGCCACCAGGTGATGAATTTTTTTTGGTCACAACTCATGAGACTATCTACAGAGGTGTGCATGGGTTGTGATCTGCTTTGGGAGAGGGAGTTACTTAGGTTGAGGAAATCACATTTTGAAGAAAGCAAAAGATATGCCATAGTGCCTTTATCCCCTCTCTTCACATCTCATATTCTGATAATTGTGAGGAATTATAGATTGATTTCCAAATATCTACAACTATATCAATGGTGTTCCAAAATCAGTCTGTTACCTCATTACCACTTTTAAAAAAATGCATGCCATTGTCTTTTAAGCCTTTCATAAAACATAAAATTATATAAATGTGAGATATTATTATTTTCAAGTAAATATGCTGAATTTTTAAAAATGCATACTTGAGGAGGAACCAGAAAGTGAGTATATATGTGAAACCTAATTTTTAATTCTTTTTGTCAGGTAAGTTAAATGGTATGAATTTCCACCCTTTTCCTCTTCCAGGTTCGTATTTTGTGAAATAGGCATATATAGCTGCTTCTTTTCTCCTTAATCCTTTGACTTAGTTTATATTATTCTTCCATTCTTTCCCTTTCCTTCCTGGGAGTTTTCATAATTTTTGGTGCTCTTGTTCTTCAGACATCCTTTATGTTTCTATCTTTGACTCATTCTGCTTCTGCAGTGCTATTTGTGTGTATTTGTGCAAGCTTATTTAACCCCTGATTCAACTAGATTACCAACTAAACATTAGATTGCCAAATAGTACTCAAAATCCAGACAACACTTAGAACAATGTTTGCGTTGGTATATTCAATGTATTTAGGCTTCCAAACTTGGAATATCAGGATTATATCTTCTTTTCTTGTAGTTGTGGCATTGGAAATATGGATTCTTACCATTTTCTTCTTGGTGTTAAAAGAAATTCTCTTAGCTTCAAACTACTAGGATTGACTCCCATGGTTGGGGGATGGCTGAGTTTCCTGTGGTCGGCTTTACAGGCGAGGTGGAAGGACTAAAGGGAATAGGACAGGATTCTCTTTGAAGGGGAAATGAAGGGTGAAAGAGGGGATAGCAGATTGGATTGGTTCGAGAGCCAGGTGAAAGCAAGGGGTGGTAGGATGATAGCATCCATGGCCTGAAGTGGAAGGACAGCAAACATTAAAGGTAAACATAAGATACTTGGAGTTGGGACAGTGAGAAGGAGCAAAGATACAGAATCTGCCCTAGTGGTAAAATTCATTGGGAAAGGATTGGTTCTAGTTAGAGGATGGTAAAAAATATTGGGGCAAGGATAGCATTAATGGAAGAGGGGTAGAAGGAAACAGGTAGTATTCTCCATTGCAGGGGGAATGTGTGTGGGGTAAAAGACAGCAGGACAGAGGCAGCTCTGTTGATGAGGACAGGGAAAGTAGGGGGAGGGAAAGAAAAATAACCAGGTTAGTGGGGTAGGTGTTCCCAAGGAAACATTAATAAGTTGTGGACTGCTTGTGTTTCTGAGGGATGTTAAACTTGTGATGCACTCTGTTCCATATAATTTTCTAAGACACCCCATTCTTATTCACTTTTCTGCTTTATAGCCATTTCTCATCTTGTTTTTCCTTCCTTCTTTTCTTCCTTCCTTCCTTCTTCCTCCTTCCTCTCTTTCAATCTCTGTCCATTCATCCATCCAATATTTTACTGTCTCTATTTCACAGTAGCTTAGCAATAATTTTAATTCTTCATATCATGCTTCTTAACCTTTTCAATGTATTGAAACAATTTTCTTAAAATTCTGTACCTGCCTATGTCTCTACCTTTTTTGTATAAAACATATATGCTACCCTCCACATACTTTCTTCTAATGACTTATCTGCAGGTAGTAGTTAATTGGTCCAAATTTAAGTCACCAGGAGGAATGTAACATAGAAAAAAAGTCTTTGAACTGGCTAGCTAAGTCATGAACAATTTAGAAAACTGGTATATCAGCAACATTAATTATTAAAGAAATACTAGGTAGTGATAAATCTTGCATTTATGTCTCTAAGTGCAAATAGGTAATTTAGTAAAACAAACTGAATGCATATATCAATAGAAATATGAAAAACAACATGAAATAATTTTGATCCTATATTGTGAAAAATTATTGAATTACATGTTTGAACAACTGTGGCTAAAAATCTGTTATGTGACTATTCTAAGTTGTTTCTATAGATCAGGGTTTCCCATATAAACTTGAACTTTTTTATCTTGAAATATATGATTGGAACCCATTAATATTGATTTGAGGAGTGTTGGGTATGGGATAACATAGGAATAAAGGGATTACTAGGGACATTTTGAAGCAAAAAATTAAAGCCTCTTTTAATGTGTGTTATAAACATGATACATAATTTGGTATATCATAGGAAAGGTATTGCTAATTGCCATTTTTTTCATGGTACTTCTAATAATGGTCATGAGAAATAGCTAGATTTCTGCAATGCATAATTTGGGAAATGCTTATGTAGACCATTCTGGAATGGATGCTGATAGTGTTAACTACTACCGTGAGATTGGGAATCAATGCTGTAGTATATAGAGGCCCCATTGTGTAATTTTATGCTGTAGGATTTGTTCCATTAAGGCACTTTCCCCTTCTCCCCAGCAGTTCACTTTCCCTGGATTCTTAATATGCAGGTTGTATCTGTATATAACTCTCACCGGTATATAATAAAAATAGATCATATTTACATAATACTTTAAACATCTGACCTGTGAGGGATATAATCCAGGTCTTCTTATCCGACTTTGACCAAGGAAGAAACTGAAGCTCACTGAGGTTGTGACTTGCCTTTGGTAGGGTCACTTAATAAATGTCCAGCCAATACTTGAACTTATGTCTTCTGACTTCAAGGTCAGTTCTCATTTCACTATACCATGATTGGTATCTTCATTCAATTCTTTCATGCATGAAGCCTTTGATAGAAGTTACTTTTAATATTTTATGTGAGATCCAACAGGGCTGATTTTATAGCAAAATGCTAAATTTTATCTTCAGTTTCACTGAACCTTGTTTTAAAGAGTATTACTGATGCTAAAATAACATATTTTAGAGGAGGAGTTGCTTCTAGAATTATTTGTTTTTGACTGTAATTTATAAGACAGTTACTCTCATTTTCCTATTATTACATTGATAATTTTAACTGTGGAAATTTAATAGTCAAAAGACAAATTCAACCATCTTCTCTAACACCTTCCAAAATCATGAGCCATAAAACAACATATTCAGTGCATTTATTTTGGTATCTTTTAAATAAGATTATTTTAAAGTTTTGTCATTTAAAATATCATTAGTTCTTAATAAGCTATTGATCTTTTTTTTTTGCCTTCCAGACAAACTATGAAAACAGAATATACAGTCTGAAAGTAGAGTGTGGATCTAAATACCCAGAAGGACCTCCAACAATTAGATTTGTAACAAAAATTAATATGAATGGGATAAATAATTCCAATGGAATGGTAAGTTGAAATTATCTCTGCCAAACTCCACTAAAGAAGCTCTTAATAGAGTTCTAGAGGAAAAAGACTCTTAAACTTATAGCAGAAAATTTCTTGATTGGTATTAAAAAAAAATCTTGTTTCTTGTTTTCTTTGCATGAGCTTAGCTCCTCTTACAGACTTCTCTTATACCAACAGAAATTAGGTATTTTGGTGAAACTTCCTTTTTTTTTTTTTAAACTTAGACTTTTATTCAATCTTATAGTAACCTTTGCTCATTTAGCTCTATTCAATGGATTGGGGAAGGGAATAAGCATTTACTAAGTACCTACAATATGCCAGACACAGTGTTGAGCACTTTACAAGTATCTTATTTGATCAAGGCAAGACACTTATTTTTCCCTTGAAAGTTGTATTAGTCTGAATGTAGACTGCACAGTTTTCCAAATCTGACTTGAATTAAATCCGAATGCATTAGTTTATCTGTTGTATGCATATAAATCTACACACACGCATGCACACACACACTTCTCTCGTCTCCTTTTTTTCCCTTACCTATACCAAAGACATAGTGTGTCCTGAATTTTGTAACTGATATTCAGATCTGTTTAGTGTTTTCTTTTATTTAGAAATATAAATGTTCTTATTATTGGTATTACATTTATAGGGAACTTATATTTAACCATAAGATGGCAGAAAGCTGACTCTGTAGCTAGGAAGACTTTGGACCAACACATTTAAATAAAAGACTCTGTGACCCTGGGCAAACCATTGAATCTCTCAGTGCTCTAGTTTACTTATAAGGCTATAGGTTGCAGAAAGCCAACCTCCACTAGTAGAAGTCACCTCATTTGGCATTTAATACCATTTGTTTTGGTAGTAAGTTGGTTCTCTTATTAATTTTAGGTGACCACTTGGCTCTTTGGCTTGTGATCTTATCCAGATATTGGAAATGATTGAATTTCTTAGGAATGAGGAAGTTAGCTATATAATATTTGAATGTCAACAGAGCAGCTTAATACTGAAAACTTGGGATACAAATGAAGAGAATAAGTAGAATCTTAATTACATCTTCTTAAAAAGCATGATAAATGGTGACCAATTTTTTAATGTCCTGATAATCACTTGGTGCTTATTAATTTAACAATAAGTATATCTAGCATCTTCTGTAATGGTTTTTTTCCTCATTTTAATGTTTACTAGATCATGTTTTGAGACAAAAAAAATGCTTGAAAACCCCCATTAAAGGGTCTAGGAAAGTAATATGTTATAGGGTTGGGGAAGGAGAAGGATGAAAGGGTGGGTGTGGTAAAGTCTGCATTTAAAAAAATAATAGAAGAAATGTTTTAGTTAAATGGAAACTGCCCAGCTTTATATTCTCAATTGTTAAATTGTTAGTGTTTCTAAGGAATTGATAATAGTAATCTGAGTTTGGATGAGGAGAGTAGTAATTTTTAAGCATTTTGCAAATATGTGTGGAGCATTATTCTAGCTTATGAAATATATTCAGCCATTCTTGATCTTATCATGCTTCTAATTCTTTATAAATATTATTTTCTTAATGGAGGCTTAGCTGCTTTTGCTGCATAGCACAGAACCTTGAACAAAGTAAGCACCTAATAGTTGTTTGTTGAAGTAAACTCAACTGTTAATTCTGTTGTAGTTTGAGGCAAGGTTTATCCTTCACATCTGGTATTTTAAAAAATAATCTTGTAAAAGAACCTTGCCTTGATTAGTAGAACGGATGTATCTATCTACCATCACTGCAGTTATCTCTCACCTCTCTTTTTACTGAAACCATATGGAATAAATTATTTTGCATTATATTTGTGTGAAAGAAGGTTCTTAAAATTGTGATTGAAATATCCTTAGAAAAGGCTTTGGAAATAAGTTTTTTCTCCACTTTATTTTCCATGTGTACTTATATAATGGTGTTATGGATAAGTCTTATTATTATTTATGTATCTGTATTTACAGGATGAGAAGCAGGGTGCCATAGTAAATTGATAGGCCTTGGAGCCCAGGAACACCTGGGTTCATGTCCATACTGATGACCAAGGGCAGGTCTCTTAAAACCTCCATTGACTCAGCCTTTAAGACTGTAAGTTAGAGCAGGCCTGCAGACTGAAAAATGTAGAGGAAAACATCCTTTGTATGTAGAGGAAATTCTTTGACCTGCTGTAAGCAACCTTTGGGCTGTAAGCAGCTGCAAGTTCTGCAGGCCTGAGTTAGAGATAAATTGCAGATAAATTGATGGAATAAGCTTCCATATAGGAATAGCATTTAGCTATGGATATATTTGTTCAGACCTATGATGTATGTGAGTTTACATGTGTTTGTATATTTTAGAAGCGACTGTTACTGGAAATGTAAGTACTTCTCAAGTGTCCCTGGAGAGTGGCTTTGAAAGAGCAGTTGTTTTTGAGAAATTTGAGGTTTTGAGAAATTTGATTGGGGCTTCCCTTTGAAGCCAAGGCTAAGAATTAAGGATTAGAATTTGAGATTTATAACCCAAACAGATTGTGCTCCACCCTCTGAAATAATTTCAGTCTGTGTTTAGAGGCATCAGATAGCTTTCAAAAATCAGGAGTATTAATCATTTCTAATTCTGAATCAGTTAACCTCTCAACCACTGTTATCTAGCCAAATCAGTTTATTTTAATTGAAATTAAATGAGCATAGATATTTTAACTATAACAACTCCGTAAAGTTTTCACACCATAAGAATAACCTAGTTAAAACATAACCATGGAGGAGAACAGCATCGCTGGAGGAGTGTAGGAAGAAGCAGTGCAGTCCAGCCTTTTCACAGAGTTCTAAGAAGACTGCCAGACTGAGGAGTGGTCCTGAAGTCTAAGGAGAAACTAACTCCCTGGGCCTTAGTTTCCTCATCTGTAAAAAGAGGGTTGGTTTTGATGGTCCCTGGGGTCCTTGAGGATCAAATGAGAATGAATCAGGTATCTTATAAAATGTAAATGTTCATATAAGTCTAAGTTATCATTATGAAGAGAGCATCGTAAAAAGAAGGTTTGAACAAGGCCTGTCCTCACAGAGTCTTCGTCTTGTGGATCCTGGAGGCTGTTTCATAGGATCATAGGTCTAGAGCTGGCCAGGACCCCAGGGACCATCAAAACCAACCCTCTCTTTTTACATATGAGGAAACTAAGGCCCAGGGATGCCATGTTAGGATTATTATCTCCTTTTTACTAGTGGGTGAAGTGACGTTCTTAAGATCACATAGCTAATAAATAACAGAGCCAGGATTTGAACCTAGTTTCTTCACCTTTATGTCCTTTTCTTTGCATTCTACACTGCACTTTGAAACCTCGCAGTAAGCAAATGAGGAATGTCTGTTGAATTGGATTAATAACTTTACCTGTAGTACAGAGTTTAACCATGTTAACCATTTGTTTTTAATCTTTGTATACCTTATGCTTAAAACATGCCTAATAGTAGGTGCTTAACTGAATATTTGAACTTAACTTTATTGTCTTCTGCTATGGTTCTTTGAAAATGAAACAAATTGTTGGCATTTAGGGTTGTGTATATGGGAGGTTGAATTCTTTTTTTTTCTTTGATAGTAATTAAACTTCTATTTTCACATTTCCTGTTGATGCTGCTTCGTTGTATAATTGTATATTTTTGAGTACACCTGGGCACCTAATTATTAGCTTCTGATGTTGCATTTTGCACCAGTAGATTTGTAATGTGCCTTTAAAATAATATCGGTCTGTGTTTATGAAGAGAAAGTAGGCAAAAATATTTCTTATGGGGATGTTATCATTGTAAAATATAAATTAGAGAGTTCAAATTGCTGTGGGATCTTAACTTTGGAGGATTATTGTGTATTATCAACTGATGAACTGCAGGTTGTGTTCTGACATGATATTTATTTTTCCATAATCATCCTCCCCATCCTTCACTCTCACCAAAATCTTTATTGAGAGTTTATGGATATTCTTGTGGAGTTTGTTTGGTATTTCACAGGATTTGCAATCACTTATATTTATTTAACTGCTATTATACAGCTGCAAGTATTTGTTTCTTTTTTAGAAATATCTTGGGTTTCTCTCCATTAATTTTATAAACTCCATCCAGGTATAGAGACTGTTTACAATAGTTTAATAAGATTGCATTATAAACGTGCTATATTATATAGCATTCTCCTAATTTTTAGTAACTCAAGAAAAATTCCACAGAGAATCTCTATTCTTAGACAATTCCCAGTTACTGCCTTTGTTATGCAGAATGTATTGCATTAATTGTGGACAATGGAAATGATAATAGAGTATTTTCCAATATATAAAAAAGATTGTCTCTAAAACAGAATCTACTATATGCTAGAAATGAAAGGGACATTAGCGATCTTTTAGTCTAATACTCTCATGTTATAGATAAGGAAGATTAGATCCAACAAGGTGAAAGGGGCTTGCCCGATGTGATTCATTTTATCTCATTGTTTTCCATTATAAAATGAAATAATTATACCTTGATAACAGTGTATGTGTTTATCTGTATCTTGGTATAGGGAATGGTAAAGGAGAGAAAAACAGTGAATCTTCCTTGTTTTTCTGGTCTGGTAAAACAACCCTATCCTGGTGTCATTTTCGTCTCTACCAGGCCTTGAATCAGTCTTCACCCCATTTCAATGATGTAAAATTCTGCCTTTGAATCCCTTGCTCATTGCATCTTGTAATATCTCCAGCATTGGAAAACTCACTATCTTCTTTCTCCCTGGTTTATTGAAGTGGCCAAATGGTGCGTAGACTACAGGATATTCCATTGGTCTACTGCAAATTTGTGTTAACTGACCCTAATTGGGCCCATTGCTTTAAAGCTTTCCTTTTAATAATCCCTTACTGATTCATATTTCTCAAAGTGGCTATTCCAAACTTCTTTATTCTCCAGTTCCCCAGTTCTACTTCCATTCAAAGCAGATGATTTCACATCATACTTACTGAGAAAGTCAAGGTCATCTGCCATGAACTCTCACCACTCCTCTCTTCTAAGCCCTTTTATGTTTTCATGTCCTCTTCTTCCTTCCCTTGTGCCTCGAAGGATGAGGTAGTTTTATTCCTTGCTAAAATCCATGCCTCCCACATTATTCTCTGTGACTTTGCTCCATCAGTCACTGCATATCTCTTTTTAATGTTCAACTCCCTCTACTGGCTCCTTCCTGTTTGTTTAAAATATACTAATTGTCCCCCATTCTAAAAAACCTCCCCTGCACTCTTGTACCTCTTACCATTCTCTACCTCTTCTCCCGCTTTCAGTGCCAAAATTGTTGAAAGAGTAGTCAACACAACTTAGGTCATTCAACTCCTTGTTGAACTACCTTCTTTGTTTTTGAGGAAGTCCTTTTGTATGAGTATGTGTGTTTTTTGATTTGCCCTGTCCTTGACTTGATTGTTTTCTCTTTATATATTTTCTTCCTTTACAATTTCATTGATTCTCACAGCTTTCATTATCACCTCCATGACATGTCTTCTAAATCTCCATCTCTAGTCCTGACTTCTGCAGAGCTCTGGTCATTTATCTGCCATGTTTCTAACATGTTCAAAACTGAATCTAACTGTTCTCTCAACTGGTCCATATCACTCCATCTCTACAAGATTATCAGTCATGAGAGACTTCATGAAATGCTCTGATTAAATTTAAGTGCTCATCTACAGCATTATATTTTAATAACTTTTTTTAATGAAAAAAGAATTGATGTTAGTTTGGAATCTTGTCCCACTCTCATTTTACAGGTAATGCTAGCTCATAATTATAGAATACTTACAGGTTTTCGGAGTGCTGTCTTTCTTTACAGTAATCCAGGTTTATGTGTTTTTCCCATTTTACAGATAAGAAAACTAAAGTTTTGAGATTATGATTTTTCCCCCCAAGGCAACATAGTTAAATGTAGTAAGGAAGAACCAGGACTTGGATTTAAGTTTAATATGTTATGCTGCCTTTCTCTTTACAGATGAGGAAACTGAGGCCCAGAGAGGGTAATCAACTTGCCCAGAGTCATATAACTTACAGCTGGGGCTAGCCACCCAGGTCTTCTGATTTTGGGTCCAGGAAAGATTGAAAGTGAAATTTTAGACTTAGAAAGTTATGCTTAAAATGATTTATTCATCTTTACAGGTATAGTATTTTATATACATCATTTATTTTTGGTCTTTTTTCTTCTAGGTGGATGCACGGTGCATACCAGTGTTAGCAAAATGGCAAAATTGTTATAGCATTAAAGTTGTACTTCAAGAGCTAAGGCGTCTAATGATGTCCAAAGAAAACATGAAGCTTCCACAACCTCCAGAAGGACAAACATACAGCAATTAATTTTAACAAATTTCAAACTTATCTAAACCAACAACCTTCTACTCATGTTAATGTCTTGATTAAATCTCACAGTGCAAAACCCACACATTAAAAGAATTCCAGCTGATATACATGACCTGGACATTTGTAAGAATATATTTAATATATGTACACCCATTATGTTTTTGGGCACAATGGGAAGAAAAATGCAGCACAATTTTTTTTTTCTCTTATCAAGGCACTATCATTTAAGCATAAACCTGGAGTACTCCAAATGCAATTCAGGTTTTACAAGATGAAAGCATGACAAAGAAGTGTCAGATTGCTGTGGAGTAATGTGTGTTTCAGAAATCTAATTTCTCAAGAAAGAAAATTATAAATGGCATGCTTGATCCATCTTGCTTAGTGAAAGAGCTGCAATTTAAATTGTTTAAAGTAGCAGGTACAATAAATACTGTTGCTAATTTTGTTTAATTTTTGAAAAGGTGTGGGTACCGACTACTAGTAGTAACAAAGAGTATGTTCAGGATTGTTTTGATACCTGTATTTATAAAAAGGGGGGAGGGATTGAGGGAGGGAGATGGATTTCTGTTTAAAGCAGCTCCTGTGTGTTACATGTAACAGACATGGTAAATACTTGTTTACAGTCTTTGTTCTGATAAACCATGAATTTAAGTTTTAAGTGAAAAAACAAAGGAAATAGGTGTATGGATATGTGATTCTGAGATTAAAGTTAGTCTTAAAATGTAAATAAAATGTGGAAAGTATCCTCAGAGGTTGTGCCATTTCTATGATATTGCTGTATTATATGTACAATAACTTGCCGAAGTAGCTGAAATCAGAATTATTGTATCTTGTTGATCTCTTTTGTTTGTTCCCCTATTTTTGTATACTAGTTAGTTGGACCTTTGGATATTATTGCTAAGGAGCAATTACATAATTGGTTTTAGCCCGTCTTTGCGAGAATAGAAATCCCTTCTATCGTGTTTTAAAAACCTCATAGTTTTTAATCACACCAGAATTTTCAGCACCTGTCTCTTACACTCCTGTTTTCACATGCTGTTTTAGTTCTTTTAAAACCCTTTTTTCTTTAACATTTTTCTGTGAAACTTTAGGTTCCCACTAAAACACTTAGTTACACGGAAGTATATAAGCATGTCTCTTCTTTTGACTATATTGTCAGCCCTGACTGCTTATGGTACAATGCCTTTAACTAGAATGAATTTATACCATGTGTTGCCCAACATATTTCCAAATCATATTTTCATTTTCTGTGGTTTTAATAATGGTTTTCACATTAGCAATCTATGTGTACCATGTAGTATGTTGAAATGATTTGGAATCATCAGTTGAGTTTATAGCTCTGCACTACCTTTCTTTCATCAGATTATGTAGTTCATCAGTGTAAAAGATACTACTTTGGCTAAATTGATGTATTTTAATATGCTTCTAACTCATTAACTTTAAAATTATTCACAAGGAAGTTTAAAATGTTACTAAATACACACATAGACACCACTACTTATGTAAAAAATGTTTTGGAATAGTTATTACTGATTTTAAAATACATTCTACTTTTAAAATGTTAACTTTTAAATGGTTGGGAAAGAAAGGAAATTGATGTGCATTACCATAAAACTTTGTAAGGTGTTCAGGGAACTCTGGCAGTCTCAATCAGTGTGCCTGTGATAAGTGCTTTTTCTCTGTGAGAGACTCTTGCCCTACATGGAAGCTAGTAAAGTGTAGTAGTGGGAATATTAATTATTTACTCTGGGAACTATGTATTACTTTAAATCATCTGTATGCTGTTAAATTCTTTATATACTGGTGAGGCTGAGAAACTCTGGAACTGTTCTCTTGTGTTCCTTCCTCTCATGCCCACAATTGTGTTCAAGTGTTGGTTTTCCAGCTATATGTTGTCTAAGTTAACTCTGCAACTTATATTTGTCATTAATTTTGGGGGACTATGGATTTCTGCAGAAACTTGCATGCCAATTAACAGATTTAGGAAGCAGAATCCATTTTTGCATGCTACAATTGAGCTGTATGTAGCAGTCAAAGCCATGTTGGTTGGTTATAGAAGGGGGATGATGTAGAACCACTCCTACGTAGAGTAACATCTAAACAGGGCAGTTTTTATGCAGTTTCCCCTTTGTCTCTCTTGAAAAGAGGCCAAGGTTCTAGGAGTGTATAGTCTTAAAATTTTTAAGTGAACTGTACAATTGCCTTAGATGATTGTTTAAGAGGTTAGTAAGTGAAACCCTTAAAGGGTGATCATATGCTAATAAAGGATTGTAAAACAACTTCTTGTTGTCCTATTAGGTCAGTGTTCTGCTTTCTGAATTGGTCATATATTAAACTCTTACCCCTGTGACCCAGCATATCTGAACTAAAGAGATTTATATTCATGGACATACCTGTGATTTTCCAATGTCTTGGAACAACCATTTGCAACCTTACAAATATCTGTGTAATGCCTTTGGGGTATGTTATAGGGCCTTCATCATGACATTAAAAAATATCTAATCAGTAGTTTGTGTGCTCAAAGAGTAGATTAGCTTGAGCCATGTGTATTCCAGTAGGTAATTTCATAAGAAAAATGTGGCATAAGGTACTTAAACTGATAAAAGTAAAAGTTCTTATTTTTTATGCATTTTATTGATAAATGAATATTTAATTTTACTTAAATACACTAATATTTCTTCTGTATAACAGAAGGAATAGCTGGAAAACACCAATACTGGTTGTAAAAGATTTTCCTATGTATGACTTGACAATTCTGATTGAGTGTATCAATCCAAAACATAAACACTTGATGTCATAGAATTTGGTTTAATAGGAAAATAAAGCTAATGTTCAAAAATTATTATATTTTTAAAGGACACAAGCAATAATGATAATACCTATTTAGCTTAAGGCTTTGTAAGCACTTAGGAAAACTGAAATTTTATTTCCCAAAACATCTTTTATAGACTCAAATGTTAGATATGTATAATTTTGTAAACCAGAGATAAGTCTAATAAATGCTTTATGTTGTAGAAAGATATAAAAGGCTAAAATTAGGAGTGGAATAGAATCGGTTGTACTCGATTAGTGTTCTACTTAGTTTATTTGAATTTTCGCTTGTTTTATTTTCTTAGATACCAAAATGTCAGACTATTTTTTGTTAAACATGTACATTTGTTTCAGGCATATGTTATAGTATTTTCACATTAGAATGGAATTCTAATACTTGACAATTTTTATTTTTATTTTTTATTTATGTCACCTTTCCCTAATCTCATTCTGTTCTTTAGTTAACAGGTAGCCATTACTTTTTCCAAATACTAGCTTGATGGAGTTTTTTTTGTTTTGTTTTGTTTTGTCATTTTCTTTTTTATTTGAAGAGTTCTTCTTTCTGGGTTTAAAAGTGTGTGTGTGTGTGTGTGTGTGTGTGTGTGTGTGTGTGTGTGTGTG